CAGAATGTTAAAGATTTTTATATATCAAAAACTCCTTGTGTAGTTCTATACCTTATGTCTTCTTTCCTGGCAAGGCAAGAAGATTTAAGATACAGAAAGGGTAAGATAAGGTGAATAGGGATCTACAGATGAAATTCTCAATTCCTCAGAAACAATGCTAAAAAATATATATACTGTATATACTTTTTAAGTGCAACTATTATATACTGTTTTGTATTGTTACATCATTGAAATCAGTATTAAATCCAGGGGATAATATTTTATCAAAGAAAATTTTTTAGTGATATAGCAGCATCACTAGGGATGTTTTCATCCAGTGCAGTAGCTTGTGGTATCACCTCCATAGATCTTTTTTCATAACAGACTTTATAGAATTCTTAGTAATTATTCTTTTGTACTAATGTTACTTGTAAATTGTAATTCCTGTATGTAATGACAGTAATGTAAACAATTAGCAAAATTAAAGTTACACTTTTAAATTACAATATCATATCCACAGTCTACAATGTACTTACATGTATTTATTTATTTCTGTAATGGCATTATATATGTAAAATATAAAATATTTTATATTTTTCATTGTAACTTGGTAATAATGACAGCTCTAACTGAAATGCATTAGAAGGCTCAAAAAATAAATTAATAGAGTTTTAGCATTGTATTTATGTTGATACATGTAAACTAAGCTCACAAAAAATGTCATTGTTATAACTAAAAATAGGTATATTAAAAAATAATAATAAATTTGAGTTGAAACACTGCACGAAAATTTTATATAGATTCATTTTAGTTTTATCCTCTCTGAAGGTGTTACCCAGTACACTCCATACCTCTGCATTCCATACTGATACAGTGGTACCTCAGGATACGAATGCCCCAGCATACGAAATTTTCAGAATACGACATGAAATTCGAACATATTTTTGCTCCACGATACGAACAAAAACTCACCATACGACGTTACATTAGTTCGCATTTTTCATTTGTTTTCCTTACTACAGTTATTTTTTTAAATGTATTATTTGGCTTTAATTTGAGTATGTTTTTCGCGTTGGAACGAATTATTTGGTTTTACATGTAATCGTATGGGAAAAGATGATCC